ATACAAATTGCAGAAAAAATACAAGGTCCTAATGCGTCGGCGTCTTCCAGCACTATCAGCAGCTGTACCGATATGGGAGCGTCTGGTTCCAATGAACCAACGAATTTTACAATGACTTCAAATTCGAATAAACCGTTAGCGTTTTCCTTTAATTTCAATATCAATGATTATAACACACTAGTGTGATATTTGATAGTTTACTTGTCTAAAATGACATTAATAATGACAGTCATAACTGTCATGTGTTGGATAAAAGAATAAAATTTGATTTATATGGAAAATCAATGGAAAATTTCACACTTGATCCTGACCCTGAAAGTGCTAGCTAATTCATCTCCTTTATCGCTTAAAAAAAAGTTAGTTTTTAGAAATAATGTTTATGAAGTCAATAAACTGACAATGCCTAAACACATCGTTTTGCAAATCATTTACATATACTTGTAACTATAGTTATATATATACAATGAAAACTATAATTTTCTTAAAGGTCTAAATATAAATTAATGCAGGAAAAACGTAAAACAAAAATACTGAGGTATTCGGTTTGAATAAACATTTTTTTCTGTAGATCGTCTGTCTGGTTTTGCATTTATTAATATTTTCTATTATTTGTTTTTCTTAGTAAATACCTAATTAAAAAAAATGAATTTATGATTTTTCTTAATCTTGAACATAGATATTAAAAAAAACTATGTTTTCTTTAGCACTGATATGTATTTACTTTACAGATTAATTGATTGGGTTATTATACAATTGCTGTTCTTGTTTCCCTTGCTTTTTAATGTGGGTTAAGTGAAAGAGTAGCTTTTGCTAAACTTCGCCCATTTTTTATTAATAAAGGCAATATTATTATTATTATTATTATGTTTTACACCTATGTGTTTTTTAAATGCAGCTGGTGAGTATCACTTTCCCTTTTCTTTGGGCCACCCTGTATGTAAATCTAATTTTTTGGTAACTTACCCACTAAATCCTCTTCTTTTATTGACAGGAGATGGTGTGTTGACTGTTGTTGTATCGTTTGTGGTAGTTTCTGAAATAAAAAAAACGTTAGAATGAATAAAAAAGTATAAGAATAAGCGGAAAATAAAATATTTAGTTTATTTTTATTTTAACAATTTATTCCAGGTAAACTAGAACAAATAATTGTTTATCCTGTGACATTTTTTTTTACTTTTTATATCAATCTACGAGGTGATATTATTTCTCACAATGTTGTCTTTTCATGTCGAACAACATTTTGTAAATATTGACTGTGTGTTACCCACACAACTTCACAATTAATTAGTTAATTAATAGAATTTATTTGACATTTTCTTTACGCATTCGCAAACGCGACGTATGTGAGTACGACATGCAACAACAGAAAACTGTTGCATACTCTCTAAAACTGAAATAGTGAAAATTTCACTATTTAAGATAGTAACGTCTAAATTCACTCTCAAAATAGTGAACTCAAATTACTGTCACTGCCAGAATAGTGAGTCCTCCGATTAAAGCCGTATCGCTCGTGGCGCCTCCCAGCAGTTTTTTTACTTACTATACTTGTCAACCTAGTCGGTGGATTGTTCCAGCACGTTCCAGCGCGTATGAGTATAAAATAATTAAACATTATCTTTTATCAGGTAAGTTAATATTCTTTTAATCATATTTCCATCAATGCAGAGTAAATTATTAATTATATATACATATGTTACGGCTAATGTGCAAACTTGGATAGTTTATAAACTAGCCAAACTGTCAGCTATTTTAATTGAAAACGTATTTTCAACTAAATTATCGGCTAGTTTACAAAATAACCAAGGATCTTGGCTAATTTACTTGAAATTATTAGGGAACTAAAATAGCTGGATAGTTTGTATACTATCCAATTCAGTTTTGATAATTTATTAAAAAAGTGAGGTTACGACATTGTTTTTCTTTTTGCCGGCTTAACCGGATTTGTTTTTTGTATTTTACGTTTTTAAAACTGTATTAACAAATTAAAATAAATCATAAGCAAAATTTTAATGCTTCCTTTATGTTAAAAAAGCCAACAATTCTAAAATATGTAATTGTAATCGCTTTTAAGCGATTATAAAAAATTATTTAACCTGCGTCTTAAAAGTGATTATTATATAATGAAGCACTTTGACCCACAGCGTGTTGCTATTAGCAACTTGCTAAAATATATATTCTTTAAAATAAACAATTAACTAAACCCAACCCCGCCAAGCCAATACAAAAATTAGTTATTAATAAATTAACCAGAATATAGGTTGGTTTTTAAACTATCTAAAGTTTGGCTATTTTGTGTTACTGAAAACTTTGTTTTAGTGGAAATTTTGGTTTTCATATTAGCCAAATTGAATTGGATAGTTTACAAATCATCTAGCTATTTTAGTTTTCTAAATAATTTCAAGTAAATAAGCCAAGATCCTTGGTTGGTTTACCGCTAATTTAGTTAAAAATACGTTTTCAATTAAAATAGCTGACAGTTTGGCTAGTTTATAAACTATCCAGCTAGGTAGTTTATAAACTATCTAAGTTTGCACATTAGCCGTAATATATATTACAACTAGTATTTTAATGACTTTACAATAGTGAATTGACATAACCTTATCCTTTTAAGCAGATTAAGCAGAGGTTATTAAAAATTTGGTTGAATTAAAAGCTTTATTTTCTATATTTTGTTGAATTATTTATAAAAGATTTATTTATGTAAGCGATTGTTATTTGTTATTCATCTCAAACTTATTTTTTAGATTATTGTTTCAACATAAACAAATTTATTTATTAAAAGTTGAATAAATACTGTGGGCTAAAATGGAATATTCTTCAATGTCAGTTGATGACTTAAATATTAAACTACAATCAGTAGTTTGTGATCCAGAAACGTTAAAAATATTCAAAGGTAATTAAATTTTTTATATGTTATGGTGCAAATATTAAAAAAATCCATTTTGCTTGTATATACGCTTGAAAACAATCGACAAAGTAAGATATTGTTAAACTAGTTGAACAATGAAAACATTGTACCACTAAAGGAACAATGAAAGAGAAGAAGACAATATTTTTTAATAGTATTGACTCAAAATTTTTGAGTCAAAAAACAAACAGTGTGACCCATTTGTTTGCGACTGTAAAATCTTTATTTATTGTGCGATTTTAACCGGATTTGTTTTAAAGTGTAGATCTTGATAAACTTTATTTTTGGAGCAAAAACGCCATATTTGTACAAAATACAAGGCCTACTATGTCAGTTTTTAAGAGTAAATTTTTAAGAATTCATATTGGCGATTTTTTTAAACAAATTCTAAGCACGGCACTAGATTCACCACCCCTCAAAACGACCCTATACAAAATTTTATTGAAAAATTTTAAATAGAAAACTGCACAATAATAAAGGCCGTATTACAGCCGGCAATTCTTTCGGCAATTGCAATGAAAAAAACAGTCTAAGGTTATTTGTTTTATGATGGCATTTTGTTCAAAGTTCTAGTATCCATTTTACTCATTAATTTTTAAATATCTGTAGGTACTAAATAACAAATAAACTTAGTGTTTACAAAATCGTATATTTTTCTTCGGTTGGTGGCACGGTAATAAACAGCAAGTTGTCTTGCCATTGCTGACTGTAAAACAACATGCAATACGGCATTAAAAACTTGATGGCAAGAATAATTGCTGCAAGAAGAATTGCCGGCTGTAATACAGCCTTAACAACAAAAATTTATTCTGTCAAGTTATCCAAGAAAAAAACATTGAAATAAAATTAAACTTATCTATAGTAATAGTACCATGTTACTATTAGTTTAATTTTATTTCAATGTTTTTTTCAAGGATAACTTGACAAAATAAATTTTTGTTGTTATTATTGCGCATGAAGTGCCGGGCTTAGATTTTGTTTTAAAAAAAAATTTACTCTTAAAAACTGACATAGTAGGCCTTGTATTTTGTACAAATATGGCGTATTTTGCTCCAAAAATAAAGTTTATCAAGATCTACACTTTAAAACAAATCCGGTTAAAATCGCACAATAAATAAAGATTTTACAGGGGTGAGTCGCAAACAAATGGGTCACACTGTATAAAACAATGTTAGAAAACTTAAACTTTAAAGTAGATACCTAATTGCATTTTTTTTACTATTCAATCATGATATTAGTGTATAAAGTCTCTTTAGAATTAAATTTTAAAGGCAAATAATCCCAAAACCAATGTTAAAAAACTTCAACCTCAAAAACCAAACTTTTAACAGCTAATCATTTTTACAAAAGTAATATATTCTATTTAATTTTTTAATTGATTGTGGGACAAAGTCATATGTGCAACTCGTAAAGAATAGTCGATTATAAACTCGAATTCTTGCCTCGCGCGCTACGCTCGCGTGGCAAACGAATGCTCGTTTATAATCGACTATTTTCTTTACTTGTTGCACAATATACTATTGTATAACCATAATTAACTATTACAGGAAAAATAACTTATCTACTCATTGCCTAAATTAAATTTCACTAATTACAAGTTTTTCTTTTATTCCTTGTTTTTTAATGATAAAACAGATTGTTGGGATAATATTAAATTATTTTGTCCCACACTCACTTAAAACTGAGACATTATATGCTCAAAAACAATTAAAAAAGATAGCTATTATTACCCTAGTTGACCAATGAAAATATTGTACCACTAGTGAAACAGAAGAAGAAGACATAAATGTTAATATTATTGACAAAATATTTAATATTATAAACAATAAATTACAGCTATTTTTTACAACAAAGTTGATAAATACATACATAAATATGATTTTAAACATTGTTTACATATTTAAAATTACATTTTAAAGGCAAATATGTAGGTAATCCCAAAAAAACATAATATTATATTAGAAACTTAAAATTTAATAAATAGATACCTAAATGCATTTTTTTCACTATTAAATCATGGTTTTAGTGAGTTGGGTGCATAATGCCTCTTTAGAATTAAATTTTAAAGGCAAATAATCCCAAAAACAATGTTAAAAAACTTAACCTCAAAAAACAAACTTTTGACAGATAATTAATTTGACAAAAGTAGTAATTTTTATTTAATTTTTTATTATTATATTAGACTACAAAGTCATGCAGCGATTAAACTGTTCATTATGTAATCAATTAGTTCCGGGAGCTTTGCATGGTTTGAGTAGACATTTAATTAACGACCATACAGTGTCAGTTAATCGGGGAATGGGTGATTCAGGGTTTCGTTGTGCGCAAAATGGTTGTCAGCGTCGGTTTAAATTTTTTTATTCATTAAGAAATCACATCAAAAAGCATCATTTGAATAATGCAGATGATAATGGTAAAATTGAGAGTGAGGATGAAGAGATAGCCAATAATATTCAAATACCAGACTTCGATAATTTTGATAATAATAATCAAGGCTTACATAACGATGGAAATTACTATGACAGCGATTATGAAGAACCGATAAATGGTGAGGATAATTTTAATGATGTGATTGACTTTAACTTACGAAAGCATGTGGTCCGGATGGTTGCCAGGTTTCAATGCAAGCCTTCAATGACTAATAGTTTATTAACTGAAGTCTTAGATGAATGTGAACAACTTCTAGTTAATGCGTGCAATTTTTTAAAACAAACAGTAAAACGATTTTTGGATAATCATCAATTGCAAGACGAAGCAGCACATAACGTATTAAACGCATTTGAATTTGATGGCGCGTTTGAAGGATTAAGAACATTGAATCAACAAATAGATGTTTTAAAACAATATTGTCATTACATAGAACCAATAGAAATTCCTTTAGGGTACAGAACTGATAGTGTACTTGATAGAATAACCAGTACATACAAACCTAAAATGGTCATGGAAACGTTTCAATACGTACCTGTTATTAGCTCCTTATCATTGGTCATGTCAAGCTCAGAGGTACGAGATGCTATTCATGCAGAGCAACGATCTCCAGATGGGATTTTGGCTTCATTTTTAGATGGAGAACATGCCCAAGAACATCCTTTATTTGTACAATATCGAAATGCATTAAGATTGCAAATATATTATGATGAGTTGGAAACGGTGAACCCTCTTGGATCCAAAACTGGTGTGCATAAACTTGGCGTATTTTATTACACTATTCAAAATTTGCCACCTGAAATTAACTCTGAACTAAGTTCAATACATGTTCTCTGTATGTGCTCGGATGCTGATGTAAAAAAATATGGTTTTAAAAAAATTCTTGCTCCATTTTTAGCAGACTTAAAGGAATTAGAAAGTGATAATGGCGTCACAATCAAAATAGATGAAGGTAATTATGTGCTTCGTGCATCTATAGCAGCATTTTGTGGAGATGGGTTAGCAGTACACGATGTTTTCAATTTTCTTGCACCATCAGCAAACTATTTTTGTCGAATTTGCATGTATTCTAGGGACGATTTACACGCAGGAAGTATGCAGCCAGCTCAGAAACGAACTAAAGTTCTTTATGATCAACATTTGGCTCATCTGAAAGAAACTAACTTTTCATCTCAATCAAAAACAGACACTGGTATCCGGGGAGAATGTTGTTTGAATGAATCAAAATATTTTAATATTACTCGAAATAAAGTTTTCGACCCCATGCATGATTTTTTGTGTGGAATATGTCCCATGATTCTGAAACTGGTATTGCACGAATATATTTCGGTTCAAAAAAAATTTACATGTGAAGATTTTAACGGGAAAATAGCATCTTTTCAATATGGATATGTAGAAATGACAAATAAACCTTCTGCGAATTTCACCAATTCAATGCTCAATAAAAATGATCATACATTGAGCCAAAAAGCTATGCAGACTTGGTGTCTAGTTCGAGTTTTTCCTTTTTTACTTTCAAATGAAATTCCTGATGGTGATAACCATATGTCACTTATACTAAATTTACTTCACATAATGGAAATTATTTTCGCTCCACGATTACATGATAATAATTTAAGAAATTTACAAATCCTTATCACTGATTTTTATACGAAATTTCTAGTTCTTTTTCCAAATGTAAATCTAATTAATAAGTTTCACCACTTGAATCATTATGCGGAATTTATTCGATGGGCTGGACCTGCAATTAATTACTGGTGTATGAGATACGAAGCTAAACATGGTGGTATCAAAGTTCGTGCTCAAATCATACATAACCACAAAAATTTACCTAAAACTCTAATACGATTATGCCAATGTGAACAAAGCGCCAGGTGGGGTGGAAAAGATGTTAAAATCCATCGATTAATGACAACAAATGGACGAACCGTGCATGTTGAAGAAACTGCAAGTAGAGAGCCTCTTCATAATTTTGATTACATTGATACCGATAGAGTGTTCCGTTGTAATTCTGCAAGAGTGAATGGAGTAGAATTTCGAGTAGGTTTATACGTATGCTTAGAAGCTTCACAACATCGTAAAGATAACATGCCTCTATTTGGTTATATAAAAGAAATTATCATTTTGAGAGAGATTGATGTTTATTTATTGACTTCAGTGTGTACTACAATTGAGTTCGACGAAAATGTTAATTCGTACTATATTACACTTAATGATAATGACGATGAAGATAAGAGTTTTATAAAAACCTGCAGGCTTGCTCATTTTAAGCCATTATGTTGTTGGACTAAGCAAAATTTCAATGACTTGTATGTTAGTCTTCGACATATTATAATATGACTCATTAATTTACTTTTAAAAAGTTAAAAAGTCTAATGGCTATTGACATAATTGGACACAATTTATAATTTGTTATATTATTTATTATTAAACTTAAAAATATTTTGCTTTGAATGCTGTTAACTTTCATTATGATATATGATGGTTTATTACGATATTATACCAGAGATATTTAAACGAGTTTGTCACTTCAATATAGTAATAACATAATTTGTATTCATTATTAAACAACACATTATATGTACTTATTGAATAAATCTTTCCACTATTATCTAAACCTTTTTAAATATACAAATGTTTTTAAGTGTATTATCAAAATTTATATAACTTAAATTAGGGATGCACCGGATCGGGTATTTTGCCGATCCGGCCGGAACCTGAATTTCGGCCGCTGGCCGGACCGGATCGCCGGAATTCCGGCCGGATCGGGACCTAAATTTAAAATGTATGTGCATGCCTATTTTTATACGTAAAACATTGAAAATATTGAGGCTGATTTATTTTTACTTTTTTTTAAACTAGCTACAGTATGCAGAGTGTTTATTACTATTAATTTTACCTAGATAGAAATTACTGTTTATTTAAATATTAATTTTTAATTAGCGTTAACAAAATTAAAACAATTCTACTCATTCAATTGGAGAATAGCAGCCACCTGCCAATAATAAAAAAATTATAAAGAAGTCGGGGAACCACAGCAAGGAAACACGCACACCCTTCTCTGTTGACCAATTACAAAATATATCTGGAAAGCGATCCGGCCGGAACGGTAGTTTCGGCCAACTGGCCGGATCGGCCGGATTTAGTGGTACCGCCGGAATTCCGGTGCATCCCTAACTTAAATTTTATAATATTAAAACCTTCAGATCAGGAAATTGACGGTGCTGTGTTTCTACAATTAACAAATGAAGATCTTACTCTTTTGCAAATCAAAATGGGACCGAAAAAAAAGCTATTAGCATTAATAAATTTAATAAATCAAGAGAAAAACATCGTGGGAACTTATATTGTTGACAGTGACAGATTCTTGATAAAAAAAACATCAGATAATACTATCAATATACCTACTAATGATCAAGATATTTCGAGGCCATCAACGTCCAGTGACAATTCTTCATCATTTACCGATGCTAAGCCTACTCCAACTTCATCTAATTTCTCATCGCGTGCTGTGTCATCAAGTACTTTTTCAGTGAGTATCTTATTTGTTGGCATATTAAAATTTAAAATAACAGGTGGATTTATATAAACTAATTAATTTTACAGCGGTATGAAACTGTTGAAAAAACTTTATTGAATCACCCTCAGGGAAAAGAAATTTTAAAGTCCATTCGGGGATCAGCTAGTGAAGAAGATCGAAGATGTTTGGTCCGGATTATAGTGGGTGAACTGGTCAAAACTCACGGTGACAGTTGGTAAAAAATTGCTTATTTTTATTTAACTAATGTATCAACATTTCATTAATAATATTTTTTGTATGTCTACATTTGTTTAGTTATCCACCAAAAGAAGCAAAAATTGCTTTAGCTAAAGCTGTTATCACAGAATTTTCCAGGTTAAGAGATAACAAACAACCAAGAGGCTACGTAAGTTTTAAAAAATATGATATTACTTTAATTTTCTAAAAATTGCTAATTAGCTCGCATATATTAATTTTATAGTATGAAGACTAAGAATTCAATTACTGGCATGTTTTTTTTTAATAAAATTTTAAAATTTTCCAATGAAAAAAAGAAAGATTGGATTTTTTAAATTAAAAAAATAATTTTTAAAAGTTAAAATCACTCGAGTGATGTATTAAATAGAAAAAGTGATGTATTAAATAGAAAAAGTAAAAAAAACAATGATTTTGAATAAATAGTAGGTGAATTTTTTATAAATATGTGCAATTGATTAGATCAGGTAGATCACAAAAAATAATGCTCGGAAAACATAAAATCTAAGTACATGTAAAATATCACATAATTAAAAATATCTTTTTTAGGACAGCAACTAGTTGAACATTATTATTTCAAAAATTATTAAACTTGGGTTTATTTATAGGAACACTATTATAATCCTGGTTCCCGTAATGATCGAGGTTTCATTGAAAATCGTCTTCTGACAATGAGAAAACGACTTCCACCAGCGGAAAAAAAGTATAATATTGTTAAATCCAACAAACAAAAACCAGTTGATTTAGTTCAAACATCAGATCTAACTGATGAAGAAATCGGCAGAATGGTACATATAAAATTGTATTTTTAAAAAGTTATTGTAAAATTAAAAAAAAATCTGTTTATTCAGGTTTCGTCTTTAAAATTTAAACTTCCCACTGGAAATAATAAGATGACCATTATCCACTTATTAAATGAAACTCGTTGTTACCGCAGAAATTGGATATGCAGTGCAAACCCAACCATTTCCAGAGTGTTAGATGAATATCCTAGATTATTGGATTATAATGGGGAAATGGCAACCTTTCTATTTTTTATATATTTTTGGTATCTATTAATATTTGTGTTTTTTTAATTATTTTAGATTAATTTGGAATTTGATGCATTATTTCCTAAGTCGAAGGACCAATTCTTGGGTAAATTTCCAAGCTTTTATGCACCTAGAATTTTGGCATATGTAAAAAAATATCGTCCAGCATTGCACAGGACTTCTGAAATCATTGATGACCGTAAGATTAATTTGATTCAAACATTTAAATTACTGATTTGTCTTATAGAAAACTTCCGAGCTTTACTCCTTCTCATTGAACTACTCCCAGTGTCAAACGCAAGAAAAACATTTAAAGGTAAAGGAAAATGTAAAGAAAAAAAAAGGAAAATTGAAGAGGATAACATTGAAGATGAGAAAGAAAACAGGCCAAAAATTGAATTTCCAAATAAATTTCTTCTCAAACAAGTACCTGTATGAATTTTGTTCATTAACTCCGATTATTTAACTTTAATAAAAAGTATAATTTCTGATTTTTAATTTTGTAGGAAGGTACTGATTTGAAAAATTACGTGAAGGCTATTTGCAAAGAAAGTATACTTTCACATAAGAGCAGTGTCCAGCCATATTTAATTGTGGTATCTGGGCAATCTACTGAATCTACTTTCATTCAAGGGGACGGATGGTTCATTGATGTTAATGATAGCGGGAATCGAGTTGCAAGTTTTGACTTATTATTCAAGTTTTTTTATGTTTTAAACATAGAATACCCAGAAAGCTTACGTAATTTTTATAATTTCATTGAATCTTACGTTTATGAGATGAATGTTAAGCCGTATAATATTGTGTCTTCTGTCCACATAAATATTTCAAATTTTAATCCTAATGAAGATGCATGATAAGGAGGATAATGATAAAGCGTTCTTTTCGGTTTTAAATATGTTATTTTTAAAATTACTTTCCTTTTTTTATTATATTAAAAACTTGACAATATGAATAAACAATAAACGTACTAAATTTTATAATTAACATGTTTCTTATTTATTTCATAGGACTCCTGAATCCTTTTTAATTTTTTCCCTAATTAATCATGTAAAAATTCCACTATTTTAACTAGTGACTAGGTCCCTAATTTAATAAGTGACTAGCCACTAATTCAATAAGTGAGTAGTCACTATTTGCAGTAGTGATTCGGTCACTATTTCAATAAGTGATTTAGTCACTATTTGAAATAGTGATTATTCACTAATTGACAGTGGTATACTTTTAACTATTTTAAATAGTGAATATTCACTGCCAAACAGTGACTTTTCACTAATTCAGATTTAGAGAGTACACTGTTATAAAAATCAGATTGGTTCACGTGAGTTTGTATTTAATTTTGTGTATGGTTTTTTTTTGTTTATTTATGTATGTATGCGTTAATTTTTTTTGTTTGGGAAATTGATTAATAAAGGAACATTTCTTATCAATTTTTTTTGTTTCCTTTTTCCAACATACAAGTTTGTAAGAATAACGTCCATTTTGAAAATTTCAAAAATTATGGTTCAATTATTGACATAAAAGTTTGTTATTAAATCTACAAAATGTCTCTAATAATAATTATTACAAACTACTTATTTACTTAGTTAATAGATTACAGTTTGCTGTAAAAGTAAAATTTAGTTATGTAGACCTGGATTAACATAAAATCTGGATATTCTTTGGTTAAAACACCAAATATTTGCAAAAAAGTCTGCGTCCCGTTTACCTTCTAGATAAAATCGCATTTGCTATTTTAATATTCCTAACAAGCCGTTTGATATATGAATTTTGACTTATATAATAACGAAAATAGATAATTTGGAGTCGTTCCCAATATATTTAGACAAAGCGGTTATAAAGATAGATATAACCGGCCAGTGTGGTCCAATTTCGACCGAATAGTTTGTTTATTTCGATTTAATTGGTTTCGGTTTAACAAGTACTTAATATACGACATAACAAATTAAAATTTTAAGATTTAATGGACCTACAATTTGATATCCTCGACTAAACTAAAAAAGTAGCTCTCTTTTCATAATTTTTTTCCGAAATAATTACGGCAACAAAAATTAAGAAATCACCCATATATGCAACATATGGTATGGATATCAAAAAAGGTTGCTGATAAATAATGTAATGCTTGATAATATTCCGCAATTAACATTCTTTCGTTGCGAAGAAAATGGATTTTTTTAACGAGAGCGACATAAAAACATTATTAGCGTAATTAAAAAATAACTAAAACACCGTTTGCGCAAATGGATCTTCGACTTATTAACAGTACTTTTTTAATTGGTCAACAGTTCGTGATTGGTGTACGTAATAAGAATATTAAAACAATTAAGAGATATTTTTGGGAAAAAATTGTGCTAAAAAAATAATATATTTTTTTCGCAAAAATGGAACATATATTATAATTAAACTTTTGATCACCTAAATAGATAACCAAAACATACACCAATTTATCTTTTACTCTAGATACGCTAGTGACACATTCAAAAATCGCCTGTTTGTTTTAAATGGTGTCGCGATGACACAAAATTAAGTTTATGAACAAAATTTCGGGACACTCGTTGGACGGAAATATCTGGTCTGAACAATACACAGTGGGAAGATTTTCTTATATATAAGAAAATCTATATATATATATATATATATATATATATATATATATATATATATATATAGTATACTAATTTGATTATTTTAAATAAATAGATTTAAATTTAAAAAAATTCCTGACCCAGCCAGGGTTTGAACTCAGGTCTTTCGCTTGTCAAGCGTATGTCATAACCAATGAGCTATCAGTCACTTTTATAAAAATCATTTTTATATGTCTATAAATATTACTTATAATATTTTAAAGTTGAATATATTTTTTGTGTTGCTGTTTTGAGCTAAACTTTTTGCATCTTTGTTTGTTTTTATGGGCCATTTAACCATGGATCCTATATATATGCATTAAACTCAAACAATAATTTGTTGTTGGCCCCAAACGATTAAAGAAATTAGTTCCTTTTAACTCTCGAAAAAGTCAAAGATGGTGATTAATTATAAATTAGTCAAACTTTAACTATTTACGTAGTAAAAAATAACTATTTATTAGTGAAAACGACTATTTTATTAGTAAAAAATGCTGGTACTACAAATTCAAATTCAAATAATAGAATTTTCAAAAAAATATTTAGAATTTTTTTTCAAATGGGGCAAGTTGTGAAAAATCGTTTGAAACATTTTAATATCTTTTCCGGGGTTTTCTTGACATTTAAGAAAATCGCTGAGATTTTTTTACATAAAAAACTACAAAAATCTTAATTTTTCAAAGGAATTGATCTTGTAAAGTTCAAAGAGAAAAATTAAAAAACTTAAGAAATGACCCATAAACATTTAAGGACTGTCTAATAACAATTTTAAATTTGGAAAATGCCTCATCTTGCACGCAGCCGAGATAATAAAGTAAAGTAACAAAAAGAAAAAGCAGCGGAAATATAATTTAAAATTAAGCTGGCATTTCAATTATTCCCGCATTTCGCGCATTCTCCGTCGTATGACGTTGGAATTTTCGGGCCGGATGCCTAAGAAACAGCAGGTATTCTGTTAATTACAGCCGGGATGCTGACAAGCGAGGGAAGACGTGAGTTATGTTATGTTGTGCAGAAAAATTGCAATTATCTACCTACACAACAAAAAGACAAAAAATGCGCGTCACTATACAGTTAGGTGTACCTACGTTATTTCCCATATAGTTTTTTTTACTTGGGTATCTGTATCATGTACTTGTATAAAGGAAGAGTTAAACGTCATCGGAAAAAAATTATGTTTTTTCTAAATTGTTATTAAACTGTAAACCAATAATTAAGAAAATACTTAGTAAAGTAAAAAAAAATAATTTAGCCAACTTAAAAAATATATTTTATTTTTTATTTTAAACATTGATTTACATTTTTAGTAAAACGTAAAATTTCCTATCAGATGGTGTTACCCCGTGATATTTAATAAAACTAAGTGAGTTAATAAGAAAGTAGATATTACAGCTCAGGTTCCAGATTTTTAACCGCAATTAATTATTTTTACAATGTTTTAAAACTCTAAAACCTATCCTCCGTGCCTGTTACTCTGAGGTAGTAAAAGCATACTAAAAATATCAGTTCACTAAGTAAATTAAACACATCCAAAGCAATCGAATCAAAAATAAAATATTTCTATAACCATTTATGTAGCTGTTACAAAAATTGATTCTATCCTCCGTTAATCTGTTTTTGCTTTAAATTTTAATCATTTTAAATAAGCAAAAACCTCTGTTTACATTATAAATGCATGTGAATTTATATGCAGATGAGAGTGTTGCTGTTTTATTATTCAAAAGTTTAAGTTCATTAATTTGTTACTTAAAAGCTATCCACCGTGAAGTGTAATATCTCAGTAAGTATATTTTTGTTATATAAATATTTAATATTTAATATTTTAAAAAAATATTAAGGTGTCAAAAGATACAATAACTTATTTTAAATATACAATGGGATGTTTAAAAAAAACTTACGAAATCCTAACCTCCGTGAAGCTATCTTCCGTGAAGCTCTAATATTCAAAATGTATGATTTCATAAAATTCTTTCATTAGTGCAGAACCACTTATGTTATGTTATTACTAGAACTGGTGGCTTCCCAAAAAACCCATTCTAGACAAACAACCAAAAATAAAAAATAATCATTTTCACTTGGGGACATCTCAATATATTTACCCGTATGTCTTCTACAGTGTGACCCATTTGTTTGCGACTCACCCCTGTAAAATCTGTATTTATTGTGCGATTTTTGAGAGTTTTTTTTAAGAATTTATTTTAACGATTGAGCTAAATTAAAAATTCACAATAATTACTTTTTACAAAAATTTATTCTATCAAGTTATCCATTAAAAAACATGGAAAAAATTAAACTAATAGTAACATAGTATATATAATATATACTAATGCTTAGTTTTAACAAATAAAAAACGCAATAGAAACTTAAAACAACAATGAAACAAAAAATGGAGAATTTCAAAAATTTTCTACAATTAGATTTTCGTCACCTCTACTAATCCACCATTTATTTCAATACACTTTCATATTTGTTGTGAAGTAATGGTTGCGCATGCTTGTAGCCCGTAGATATTGTGCAATATAGGTAAAGAAAATCTAAACGTAATTGTAGGTTTTTTGGAATTCTCTATTTTTGTCCCATTGTTGTTTTAAGTTTTAATTTCTTTAAATATCTCATTTAGATGAGATAAGATGTGACGAATGTAAATATATTTTTTGGAATTTTGTTTTAAGATGTTAGTGATTGTTAATTAAGTCTAGAAAAAATGTTGATAACATTTCCAACATTATCAATTCGATTTTCTATTTTAAAAGAGTAAAATTTCTCTATAATTTGTATGTAAAATGTATTGATGCATTGTAAAATACAATAATAAATTGTAATTGGACATTGTCAACTAATATGATACACCCAGGTTTAAATTAAATTAAAATTAATTTTTATCAAAAACGATAATTTGAATTTCTCGGAATTTAATTTAATTTTAGATATATTAGCCAGTAGATAATTTAATTAACCAAAACTGCCTATTGCATATAAAATAATTGATTTAAATATTACGTTTACGTTTTAATGAAATTATAGAAAAATAAAACAAAGAAGTTTAATTTATAATTAACACTGAATTTTTAATGTACACAATAACACTGCTTGCAAAAATTTTAAGGATTCCCAAATAAAAAAAACACCTTGAGAAATAACGGACAAATCATAATTTGGTGAAACAAAAAATGTCTAGCCATAAAGATGTTATAATAAAAAAATACCATAAAAACTGCAATTTATAAAATTTC